CTTTTTAAATATATTTTTTTTTTTTCGCAACGAAAGCTGGAACCTCTATTAGCACAAAGGAATAAACGTCTTACAATCGAAGGCCAACTAGCCCATAACAATAGAATAAACAATACACTGGAGAACCGCTACATCTAGCGGCCTAAATGCTAATACATAATTGAGCCCTGGATTAAGCAACCTCTAACATTTGAAGTCTTAATCCAACAATACAACCATAATACAGCAAAAAACACCCAAATAAACTACTGTGAACTTATGAACAAAGGAGAAGAAGACCACTGAACCATAAGGAGCCTAGACTCTTTCCTCTGCCCAGTTCACAGCAATCCTCCCACAGCTAACCAAATTCAGACCAATCCTTCCATGCCGCTCTTACTATTTCTCTATCACTCATCCACCTATTTTGAAATATCCAGAGATTCCGGGATTTCCAAAGCCACCATAGGAGATAAGTCGAGAGTTGAATGCGCTCTTGCGACACATCAGAACCATCCAAGGTAGAAATAGTCCACCACCATTCCTTAAAAGACCCAACATTGAGATTGTGATTCCAAGAAACTGGGGAAAGTTGCCATACCTGTTGGGCTCTAGGGCATTGGAAGAGCAGATGGTGGACCGTTTCTTCTGCAGCTCCACATCCCTTGCAAATACTATCCAAGACAATACCTCTTTTGTTAAGATTTTGGCATACAGGTAATGCTCTTGAGAAGCACTTCCAGACAAAATGCTTAAGCTTTCCTTTAACATTTAGCTTCCAGAACCTCTCTCTAGCTCTTTTGTCCCTATGCCTTGCATTGCTACTCTCCGGTATGTCCCAACTGTTCATCTTGTCATCCACTAAGTTTGAGTAGGCCCCCGCAACTGAAAAATTACCTGATTTTCCTTCAACCCACACCCATCTATCTTTAAAATCAGGATTAAGTGTGCTTATCTTGAGGATGGCTTCACTGTCCTGAGCCTGAAAAGTATTCCTTACCAGGGTTTCATTCCAACTTCTTTTGTCAGCTGCAATTAATTCTTTCACCCAATGCAACTGGGTCTCAGCAGGGTTGATAGGTTTAGGAATGCCAGACTAAAATCAAATGTTTGGTAAAATAGTTTATGGATGCAGCGTTTTTATCCAAAACGCCAAACTTGGAAACGCTACTCCTTGCAGCGTTTCACATTAGTATTTTTTTATAATTGGGACATGTAATTACGTGATTTAAAATGCTTGGAAATTGGCCCTTTTTTTTCTTTTTATGCAGAGTGAAAAGTATTAATTAGCTCATATTGTTAAAAATGTCTGGACACTATCAAGCCTTCATTTCATTTTTCTTTTTTTTCTATTTGTAAATAACAATATTATAGCATGAAAAATATGTCATTATTTATTTTAAAACTTTTATTTAGTTAGTCTTTGACTCTTTATTTCAAATATTCAAGCCAAAAAAAAATTAAATTCCGCCATTATATTATTATTAATTAATTTTTAATTTTAAAATATGTAAATAATTGATATTTTAAGATAATTATGATTATTCTAAAAACAATATATTTAAAATGTATGACAAATAATTTTTTTATATATTAATAACTAATAACAAACATCTAATTTTATCAAACATATTTTTATAAACCGCTAATATAATTAGCGTCAAAACAACTAATACAATTATTAAAAACCAGCTTATTGCCACCTCTCACCGCCGAAACTCTCGCCGCCTTCAGATTCCTCTTCACCCCTCATCGCTGCACACACACAAATACAACTTCGGATGAGAAGATTTCCATCTACGGCACTGAAACAGAAAATCGTGGAGCTCAGTTTAGAAGCTCGTCCCCGTGGTCAATGGTGACGTCGCTCAATCGACAATTTCAAAGGCCGACATCGACGACATGAATTTCAGCACTCAACCCTTAGTCCACTTTGAAAGTCCCACCGCAACCATTAGCTGTGACTGACCGAAGTAGCAGCAACTTGTCTGCGTCTCATCGCTGAACGCCCGAGGCTCTAATCGTTGGCAAGGCCTCGACCGGTACTTTTCTCGCTACAAAGCTTGATTAAATTTGAAATCCAAAAGCCCTAAAAATGAGCCACCACACCGCATAATCATAGTTGAGGTATGGAAGCCGACGTTTTGATTTTCTTATAGTTGAAAAAAATACCCTTTTCAGAATTTTGGGTGAAAAAAATGGATTGGGGGACCAACGGTGCTAACTAATACAGCACCCTCTACTGTGTTATTTAATGACCATTGGATGATATTACTGGCCCAAATTTAATGAAGAGAGAGACTTGTATTAAATTAAAATGCAAGAGGATAGAGAATGTGTTTTAATCCTCATTCTTTACTCGTTCAAGCATTTTTTTTCCTGTTCATCTTCTCCCTCAATCTCTGAATACTCTTGAGGTTAATGATCTGATAATGGGCAATACATCAAAATAAAGCACCAAACGTTCCAAATAGCCATGTTCATGGCCCTTCAACAAGTGAATTGCATCAAAACCTAAGATTTCATGGTGAGTTGCAAAATTTTGAAGGTATTTTGCGTCTGCACCTACTCAGATTATTCACATACTTTGTGTTTATTTATTGCTACTCTTTTGATAGAAAAGATTGTTAATCTTTGGGAAATCTAAGTGTTTTGAACCTTAATTCGAAATCACTTTTCATATGAAAAATTGACAATTGCTGGATGTTTATTTTCTGCTTTATTTCCCCCCCTTTTTTCATATGATTGGATCCAATTTACTTTTTTTTTTTGGATTTCTCGTATAATTCTGTGTTATAATTAAGATGTAATTCTATGTTTATTGTTTTAGTAATATACAATTGAAAATATACACTTTTTAAAATAAAAAAAAATATCAACCCATTATTTTTTTAGTAATATATAATTGAAAATATAAAACTTGTAAAATTTTGAATAATTAAACTTTTCAAAAGACTGTTAATTTAGCCACATTCTAATTTTTTTTTTTTTAAATTGTGACATTGTTTAGACCACATTATCTCTCCTCTTGTATTTTAATGATAATAATCATAATATAATACAAGTCTCTCAAATTTTGGACCACTTGATTAAATTAACCTGATCCAAGGGTCTTTAAAAAGCACAGCAGAGTGTGCTGTGTTAGTAAGCACCGTTGGTACCCCGGATCCGAAAAAAATAAGGGTGTGATTGTTTATCAATCCAATTCAAAAAAAACCAATCAAAACTCAAATTTAACTCAACTTTAACTCAACTCCACTATCTCCATTATTACCAATATAATTAAATAATACCAACCAATCATTCTTACACATCACATCAACTTTAATTCTACTCACATAATTTTAACTAACCACCATTTCCAATCAATTTTCTCTTACTTTACATCATATCAACTTTACTTATTTTATTTTAAATATTATTTTAATATATCCACTAACAACTAACCATACTAACTTTTTTAAAAGTAACTATAGTTAAAAAAAAACCAATTAATTTTAGATGAATTGATAAACAATCACCCCCTAAATCTTTTGGGTTTCAGTTTCAGGGGCTTTTGTAATATTTGAAAAAAAAGTAGAGATTTCACATAGGTTCTCTTTTTCCTCCCATATTTCTGTCAACTCTATTGAAAACTTGTTAAAATCCTGAAGTTACGGACACCTCTATTTCTTGGCTCACATAAGGTATTGGTATAGCTACTGATGTAGCAATAGTCATTACTAATTTATTACCATCAGTTTATTGCATTTTGCTTTGGTTGTTGTGTGCTTTCTATTGCAACTCATGAGAAAAGTCATGGTCCCGTGTGTTCTCCTTCTATTGTTTTACATGAGGTCATTCTAATTTTGTTTATCAACCTGAAAAATTCATCATTGTTAGAAGCCACCTGAGAGAAATAGGCAATAGGCAGAGAGAACAAATGAAGACTTCGAGTGAATGTGATGTAAGAGCTTATAAGAGATATATATTTCAGATGCCAGTGATGGCATTTTTAAATTGAATGGTCAAAATGAAGAGGTTATCAAAAAATTTACAGGAACCTTTTGAAGATAGAGCTAGCAAATCTATAAATCAAACCTGCCCACATAAATAAAACCGCTCAATTCAGATGATCTCTGGCTTCTCTTTCAGTTGCCACAATGGTTCCTAAGCATCTGTTAACCGGAATTCGTATCCTAGCTCGACCCTTTTGTCAACGCGCACGACCCACAAATCTCTGTTCCTATCCCGAATTTCTTCATAAGCTCCAAAGCAGGCATTATTCAAATGAACCGCCCCCAGTCGCTCCGGCTTTCTCTCCTCCGCTAGCCTCCACTTCAAATCCAAAGAGCTCTCTGAATGACGCTGAGCTACAAAAATTTGCCGCAATTTCTGGGACATGGTGTGTTTCTTTTTGGATTTTAATATTTCTACAAGTTTAATTTGGTGATACTTTGTTAATTCATTTGATTTTTACTGAATTGGTATTAGGTGGGATGCTGAAGGTCCGTTTAAGCCGTTGCATGTGATGAACCCGACGAGGCTTGCTTTTATCAGGTCCACATTGTGCCGGCATTTTGGGTAATTTAACTTGTGTTCTTGAAATTTATTCCACATCTTTTACTCTATCTACATTCAATCTAATATATTTGTCCTGTACTTGACATATTGAGGCTCACTAGTTCATCGTGGTTCATGATATCTTAGACTATTTTATCTAGCAATACATCATACAGCAACAAATGACCTTTATCAGCCCACTACTGATTTTTAGAATTCTCTTGACAAGTAGTGATTTGTTTGATTGTATGTAGCTTCATTAGTTTTTGATGAAGCTGAAGCCACTAATTTGTATACATTTCGTGGTCGTTCGTCGATTATGACTAATCTAAGCTGGTGGAAACTTGAAAAATGTGCCTATTTGTCGTGGGGTAACAATTGTTCTACCAGACTTATCATAGTTCTAAAGCTGTATGTTATGTTAATTCCACAAGCACTAAGGTGACTCAAAGTGTAAATGGTTACCCTAATCTGAATTTTACTTTGAAAGATGTTTATTAACTTATTAAAACTTTGATAATTTGGTATAAGAGATCACGAGAACCATTTTTCTTCGCTCGGGGCCAATCACAGTAAGATATTTGGAACATACTTTAATTTGATTAAGCATTTATTGGTTAACCATGATATTTGATTGGCTCATATCTATGTTATTACTTAAACAAAATCTTGCAACATGAATTAAATTCACAGGTTAATTTGATTTCTCGGATTGAAGTGCTCTTACTCTCGCAAATGGCATGAGATGGATTTACATTTATTCTGCCCCTTCTTTTGATGAGATACCGTAATTTATTTTGAAGTATTTGTGAAGTTATGTGTGGTTTTTTACTGTGTTAAATGTTAGTTATGCAGAGTAATGTTATTATCCTTGAAGAACAAATAAAAGTTTTGTGCACTGCGCCTCTTAACTTTTCATTCTTCATTTGGTTTTATACTTGATATAAAGTATTATTTGTTTAATTTGTGACACTTACAAACTTAGAAGTGAGGCTAGATATAGCAGTTGCATCTTTTGTTGAGTGAGGAAACTGTGAAATAGTAGTTGGTGAAGTTTTGAAATCAATGAAATCATTTTGTTTTTTTTTTTTTTNGCACTTCTTCTCTGTGTTGTTCAAATTAAACTCATTATTTTATTTTCAACTTGATTTTGTGCATTTGTATGCTGAACCTGTAGATGGATCTTTCATTAAAGGATCCAACCAAGAAAGTTTGAGGCATTTATATTTAATGGTTGCCCTCCATGTTTGGGGAATGAAAGAAGAATTGCTAAATAATTCAATCACTAATAAATAAAGAGTTAAAAGAATGAATATAGGATAAGTAGTTTCGTTAGGATATGTGAACTGAAATGATATTGTCTGACACAGGACGAGGACGACACATTAATGTTTCTCGTTTTGTGAATTAAATTTGTAATTAAAAATTGTGTTATAAAAGAGAGCTTTTCTAGAATATTTTGTAAAGAAGGCAATGTTATCAATGGCAAAAAGCTGAAAATACTCCATAACAGCCCACCATAGCAACCTGTGGCAGCCCGCGGCTGTATAATAGCCATCCTTCACTAATTTCTAATGGCAGTTAGATAAAAACCCGCAACCCGCACGACATACTGCCATGCTTCACAAATTCCTAATGGCAAATAGGCAAATCTACAACACCATATCACCGCGGATGTCATATATTGTCTTAGGTGGCAATATATCTTTCTCGTGTCTCATCGAGATAAACTTCTTTTTTGGTGCCTTATTGCATATTTGTGAGTCTGTTTTGTTTATAATTTCACCACTCGAGTCTGAAAAATTACAACTCTTTTTTCGTATCACCGTCCAATCATCGCAAAAATATATTCACTAAATGGTTAGGAGAAAAATGCTTTTTTGACAATCTGGAAATGATTGATGCTCTAGCTGTTTTGAGGGAGTGCTGTATATATTCTTATTTATATGTATATTTTCTTTTGTTTTAGTTATATTAGAATAATTTTTGTACANGTAGATATTACAACCTATCTACGGCTCCCTCTATAATATGAAAGTCCTTCGTACTTCAACGACACGCAGAAATTGTTCCTTCTTCATATTTTATAGTATTAAGAATATTTTATAGTATTAAATGACTAATCCCCCTTATATGTAATTACAAAACACGTTGAGCCTAAGTGGTAGTTTCGCATGCTTCATAATCTTATGTGGCAAAATATTTGGCTTTGTAATATGGCTCGGATAAAAATTACTAATTTTTTCATACGAAATAATTTTGGTTTGTATTACCATAAATTCACGTATTTAATATATTTAAACTATTCCACAAAATCTATTTATTATCTTCTCTCACGTTCCAAATTTTGTGTTTTGTCTATATTATTCTTTTATGTGTTTTAAATAAAATCATATTGTTAATTAACTTAGTTCTTTATTATAAATTGTTATAAGTTGTTCGTAATTTATTTTTTTTCAACTTCAACAATGTATATGAACATTTTTTTTCTTTTTTGTTGTACATTTAATATTTTATCAAACACCCATCTTTCGTAATTGGCGAAGGATTTCAATAAAGAAATGAAACTTACAATCTCTATTTTGTCAATAAGTTGTGAAAAAAAAAGTAGAAGTGGCTTGAAGATATGTGTGCACTGTAACTATGAATCTGTTTTGCGGGCAAGGAAATCCTCAAGTATTAAACAGGAAATTTATGGATTGAGCCATAAGAAAACATTCATAAGAAAATCCATGTATCGTAATATATATCATAAGAAAATAATATATCATATAATTGAAATTAAATTTACATTCAAAACTTAGCTAATCAGTAAATCGAAGTTTATTTTTGCATGTGTTTTTCCACTTTGCTATCCAAAGGACTCTCTTAACCAGATGTAACTGAACATCTGTATGTGAAGCCTTGCGATGGCTAGGTCTTAGATAGGGAATAGTCTATGGTTATTTTCTGAATTGATTTCGGCTTTATCTTTTAACACAAAGGAAAGTGAAGGCAATTGTCCAAGAACAATACTGATGTTTTCTTTCTTGGTTGTCTTATAAGAGCTGATGAATGCAACATGTTTCAGAAAGGATCCAAACTGCGCGAGGCCATTTGAAGGATTGAAATTCATAGATGTTGGCTGTGGAGGGGGGATTTTATCTGAGGTATGAGTCTTTATCTTTTTCTAGATATATATTCAACTTGGCATGGTTCACTTTATTGATAATTCGAAGACATTCTCTATGAGATAAATGTCTGTGTATAAGCATTTATGGACATCTCTTAGTAGACAAATTATGTTTGGATGTAAATTAGGATAATCGTTTATTCTTGTTGCATAAATGATTCTTTTCTAGCCTTTAATATTTATTTTTAAACATATTTCAGCCTTTGGCTCGGATGGGTGCCACTGTTACAGGAATTGATGCTGTTGAAAAGAACATCAAGATTGCACAACTTCATGCGGTATGTTCTTTTATGGAAATGAAAACAACTTGCTGTATGCATTCATGCACATTTACATAATAAGTTCGGTGCTGCTGATTGAAAGTTTATGAAATGAAATGGGTTGCACAAATGTGGTGTGGCTATATTTTTAAGAAATTGTACTTTCGATCAGTGTGAAGATGAACTAATATTGTGTTCTTAATTATTGGACTTCTGTATATTGGCATGGTTATGTATGTAATTACTTAGTTTTTGGTAAGAAGTGAATACTAATCTTGTGGGCTTTACTTGAATAACTCTCACCAGCACCGGTATAAGTCATACACACAATTATACTTCAGTCCGGGCATGAGATCTATATAACTGCCTCATAATTAAAACACATCAATTTATGTAACATAAATATTTCCTTGTGTCATTTATGTCAGTGAAATTTGAACTTTTGCAGCATTTGGATCCTATGACTTCATCAATTGACTACCATTGCACAACAGCTGGTATACATCTTATTTACTTTGTGAATGTTTTATCATTTCCTTTTTTCTTCGAACTGCTTTCACATATTTATTTAACTTTGTAACGTAAGAGTTGAGTGCTTATTGTCTCTAGCATCTTCATGTTTTGACGCTCCTCATTTACCCTGTGCATTCTAAATCTTCAAATGTTCCACCAATTTAGCCAAGTTCTTATAGTGGAATGTTTTCTCCATGGTTCTTTTGGATCTTCGTTTCTTTTCTCTCTACTTCTCTATTTTTCTCCTGATCTATATATTTATTTATTGGGACTGAGGGAATAGACCAAAATGAGCGGGCATGATGAGGGTACAGTGGGGCATAATGTGTATTTCTCCATTTGTGGGCTAAAATTCCAACAGTTTGATAAAAAAAGTCATCTAAACTCATTGACATCATAGTGATCAAAAGGGCACCTAGGTAAGGTGAAAAAGGTAAGCAAAGGCAATTATTTACATTCAACTATTTCTACAAGACTACATCAGTTTTTCTGTTGGGTTGTTTGAAGGTGTTTGTAGTGATCTGTTAGCTTTTGTTATGACCTTTAATTTGCTGATGCCTTTTTATGTGGTATTAGCCACAGTTACTGATATTTAACTTTTGCTAGATCAAATAATTACTTATCTGAAAAATGTGTACCTTTTGAACTTCTAAACAATATTCTGCAGAAGCTGATGAAATTATCTTTGGCAGAAAAATTGGTGGAAGAGCAGAGGAAATTTGATGCAGTACTTGCACTGGAGGTAAGATATTAATTTGATTCCAATGGAATTTTATTAATATGATCTGAGAGTTATCAATCATTAGGCTTAGGCAACTTATGTTATACATGCTGTTTTGTGAATCTTCAGTAGCATAGATCTTATTACCTTTTCATTTTTCGATTTATTGGATGCTCTCTGCTAGGACTATAGCACTTCTCTGCCTCTGCGTACACATTTCACTATTCATGCATTTACAGTGGACACACACTCCCAGAAAACGAATGAAAAAAAAAGAGAAAGGGAAGAAGTAACAATTATTGATTTGCATCTAATACTTTGCATGCTATTCAGGTAATTGAGCACGTGGCAGATCCTTCTGATTTCTGCAAATCCTTGTCAGCATTGACCAGTTTTGGTGGAGCTACGATTATCTCTACAATTAATCGATCCATGAGAGCATATGCAACTACCATCCTCATGGCTGAATATGTGCTACACTGGGTATTTTATTCCGTCCTGTTTTAGCTTGTAACGATGTATTATTTTTATGTTCAAAACTTGTCCTTTATAGCCATTGTTGATGTCAGTGTTGTTTAGTAAGTATTCCCCTATGTAGATAAGGCATATTGAACTTATCGACCTCTCATTATCTTATTTTCTTTTTCTCAAATTCTTTTTTGTATGATGCATGAGTCCTCAAAGAGTCCACTCAGTGTCAAAAGTGCCAAAAAATGTCAACTTGGACTTTGGCCATATATAGGAGAATAAATTGTATCAACACTTTATAGATTCTAGAAGAAGAGTATGTCATGGTTTGGTTTTAAGTAATTTGTATTCCGTGATTTCAGTGTGTACAGAGCTTTACATTTTCATCTTTTTTTCATAACTTTCATTTTTTTTTTTTTTTTGNTTTTTTTTTTTTTTTTGTGTGTGTTTTTATCTTATTTGTTCAGCAGGTCCTTCGAGTCACTTGATTCTTTTTTCTTGTCTTCCTCTTGATTCCTTAAGTTATTAAACTTACGTTGATGACTTATGCATGTTACTTGAGATTCTAGTGTGCTTTCTTTTTTCTTTTGTTCTCCTTCATACATAGTTTCGACAAATACCCTCGACTTTAGTCTATAAGAACAAAAGAACATATCTTATGACAAGAATCATATGTCATGCGTGTTAAGGAAATCTAGTAAAAACACATCCTAGTTTTAACTGAAGAGGTGTCTCAAAATATTTCCCATAAGATTCTCCATCTTCTCATTGTTTTGGCATGTTAAATTTTTCAGCTTCCAAGAGGCACACATCAATGGTCGAGCTTCCTGACGCCAGAAGAACTGGTCCTTATTCTTGAGCGTGCCTCTATTTCAGTGAGTCACAAAAGGCTTGTTATCTTTTACTGCAGACACTTTTTTTCCCTGTTTAATATGAAATTGTTGTTTTCCCTTCCCTTTGTATCCAGGTCAAAGAGATGGCTGGGTTTGTTTATGACCCCTTGACTGGGAGATGGTCCCTTTCTGATGATGTCAGTGTTAATTTCATCGCTTATGGCACTAAGAACAGTGAATAGTAACCTGACATCCAGTTTCTTGTTATGTAATTGAGTTATAACTTATAATTTGGTTTCCTTTCTTTCCCTTCCTTTATCCGTCTTTTATTTATTTTTTTCTGTCACAACTCGCTTGAGGCATTATTGGTCCTTTTGTGTGTTCAAAAGGAGTGAAGTTCTGAGGTTGAAAATATTTTCAGTATCGGAAGGAAAGCAGGATATGTAGGCATTTATTGCACTGTGTAGTATATTCAACTTTAACTATACAATCTTGCAATATGTTTTTTGTTAGGCTGACCTAACCATTACGCCGACATACTTTCCTCTTACTTTCCTCTCAAATATGCATACTGTCATTTGAAAATGTCAACTTTAAAAAAACAGTATAAACAAAAGTATAACATTTGATTGCATTAGTTTATTTTTGTTTACTGATTGGTCCACCTACTTATCTATTATGATGCTTAACCCAAAAATTTAAGGGGGAGATCGAAAAAATTAAAGAAAAAATCAACTTACAATCAGTTTCACTCGTGAGTCGAGTCATCCAAACTTGACCAGAGTGGAGGACAAGATGATATGAGATATTGTACCAGATCGACTAGACCCAAAAAATAGTATGATCGAACTGGACGAACCATCAGGTCGAACAAAGATCGAAGGTATTATAGATTGAAAAAGTCCTAGTAAGCCATCACATGAAATTTTGTGGGCCTGGACGCATTTCTGGATTTTGGTTTACTAATATTTAGCCAGTTAAAGTCACATGGTCAGCGGGCCTCTAGGATGCTCCAGTTAGTGCAATTAGGACCACTAATTGAAAAAAAATAAAAATAAAAAAATCTTGTAATGAATGATATGTATTAGATATTTATTAGATGAGACTTTTAGGACCACATGTCTAGAAATCGAAACTCTTTTAACGCAAAACAAAATGTACATGTGAATGAATTTAGGACCACCATTTGCTAAAAAGAGGTCTTGCGAATATTATAGAAGAAGATGATAGGTCTCGAGGGGTGTCCTTTGGGGTTAATTAAATTTAATTTGCAACTGATACCAAATTTTTAATGTCGAGCATATAGGATGTAAAGAGCACCTGCAAAACCACGTTCTTTAATATATTTTAACTTGATATTTTGGGCTCTTTTAGGCACTAACCAGTTCTAGATTTCTACTCTCTAATTTTATGTGTATTAACATAGTAACCGAATATATATGAATAATATACATGTTATATGCTTTGGTTCCTGTTCTCTCTCCCTCTTATTTGGTTCTTCACTTTTATATTATGGTTCGTGAATTCTTGTAATATGGTTACTCAAGGAGTCAGATCCTTTTCATTGTCATTCTCTATCTGGTTCTTAGAAAAATAATTGATAATAATTGGATTGGTCCTGGACCTAGCTAATATAGTTGGGCCTTTTCTTTTCCTTTTTTTTTTTTGGTATAAAAGTTCAATAGAAAATAAAATTTGAATAAAACATAAAAAGTAGCTATCTAGTTTTTGCTCACTATTAATAATTAACTTGAATAGCTAAATTCATATCTGCTAATCATTTAACTCTATGTTTGGAATTGGTAATCGATGCCTCCTTATCTATTATGTATGTCAGAGGAGCCAGCATAGGTAGACCATTGGAAGATGTTCAAAGATCAAAGTTCAGTTAAGAGTGTTCTGGAAAAAAAACGCCCTAGTTGATGGCCAAAAAATCAATATAATATCTGACAAAACTAGTTGGTACGTTGACTGGAAATAAAAGTCCTTATAATGTCTTCTAAAATGCTTTCAATATAAACAGTTGGAATAAACTTGAGCTTAAAAAAAAAAAAAAGAAAAAAGATGTATCCATCCAAACCAAGAAAGTATTTTTCTTAATAAACTATGGACGAGCAAATTGTACCCACCAAACAATTTTAAAACGATGAAGCGAATTTATCTAAAATATATAAGGTTTCCTATTATAAAATAAATTAATAATCACAAAGATAACTGAAAACAGCCCGCATATTCTTCTTCTGTATATTAATTCAGAACGTGCTGAGCCTAAGTGGTAGGCTCACATGCTTCGGGATCCTATGTGACAAAATTACATGCTTTGTTATTAGGTTTGAGTAGATTTTAATTTACTTCACAGCAAAAAAATAATTATCCATATTATCCATAAATATATGATTATTTATGGTCATTTTACACGTATTAATTGCATTTTAATATCATTTCCTATTATAACATTGAATTGTAAATGTATTTTAAAAGTTAATAAATTTTGTGTTTTTTATCAGTTTTACATATAGAATATATCAAATTAATCATCTCATGATGAACTTCGATTTAACATCCATATTGTATGTATAAAAAAACTAAATCATATTTATCTTTATAACAATAGTAAAATTATTTTAAATATTAATTAGAAAAACAAAAATATTTAACAATTAATATATTTATATTTCAAGTAGTTATATGATATAAGTTATAAAATTTACTATAATATAACACATGTAAATCGCACAAGTAACAAGTATTATTCTAAAATGTACAATAATATATATTTTTTTATCAAAAAGCAAATTAAAATTTAAAATAATTTTTCTTATTAATTTTAAAATTTAAGAATAATTTTTTAACAAACACCCGTGTAATACACGGTTGTTGGACTAGTAGTAATTAAGAACAGTTAGGGATGAGTACTCTCAAATTTTGAGGTGGTCCTGATTAGCTCAATTACTAAGTTTGAACTAAAAAGAGGTGATCCTAAATAATTAGCTCAAAATCGAAACTATTGAATTAATCCCCATTCGGGAATCGAGCATGCAGTGAGAATTCATATTGAAAAGGACCACTACAAAAAGAAGACAAACAAATGGATAAAACAAGATGTTAATAATAATAATATTTCCGAATTTGTTTCTTTTTTAGAAGAGTTGTTCTCGAGAACTGCCTTGAAGTGGAGTGGTCGGATTATTGTGTTCAAAGGTCGGTATCATCCGTGTTGTATCAGTTATAGTGTGATTTTATATCGTTCAATTCTTTTAAATAGTTGCATATCATAACAACATAAAACATATCTTGTTTCAATTTAAAATTATAATAATAATATTATTATTATTATTATTAAAATTACTTTTTTATTCAGAAAGTAATGTTTGTCAAATCAACCGAGCCAATGTTAAATGTGAATATATTTGAGAGATAGATTATTACTTTCGTATGTGGAGTTAATTATTTTTTTACATGGCCTACGTGGCACTATAACATTGGTGGTTGACTCCATAAATGAGCCAACCATTGGCTCTATAGCATTTCTATCAACCACCCAACACCCAATTCACAAATTTCACACAATAAGGTTCCAATAAATTTCATTAAATCTTAGAATGAAGAAAACCTAATTACATAATGTATAATGTATAAGTTAAATTAGAAGTGAACTAACATAATGTTCAAAAATCCCATAAAAACAGTAAATTTACATGAGTGGGTGAGAAGAGGGAGGGTCGAATCCGGCGGCGAGTCGCGTCCGGTGGCGAGTGAGGTCCGCTGAATAAGGGTTGCTGCTAAACGTGGTTTATGAGGTAGAGAGTTATGTTCTCTGTTAGTGTTCTGCTTCTGTATTGAATTCTATTTGGTAAGATGGCACCCTTTTTTTATAATTTAAATTTTAAAGTTAAACTGAGACAACGACGTCCTTTTCTTCGTATATAACTAAAAAAAAATAAATACCTGTTAATGCCAAGCTCCACCATCTTCCCGTCTATCCCCGCCTCTTGCCGCCTAAGCCCGACGAATAGCCGAGACTGAAGCTAAAGTAGCCTTTTTAGTCCAATTCTTGCTGTCTTTTTTTTCCTTCTTTTTTTCTTTTTTCTTTTTCTTGGCTTTTTTCGCTCTATTTCTAACTCTAACCGAGTGCCGGTGTCCTTATCCTTAGGGCCCCGCAACACCTACCTAATCCCCCTTCACGTTTTGAACAATGAGGGCGGCCTTCTTCTGCTTCCCATTCACCTCCCCCCTATGGAACTTCGAAGAACGAATTTTGGGAGCTATAGATCGAACTTTAAGAGCCACTGGAAAGGTTAAGCCCTTATTGCATTAGTCATCGAACTCCTAATGCCGGGCTTGGTTTAGGGTTAGCTAGTAGAGTATAAGAAGGATAGCTTAGAGTTACTAGTGGGCTCCACTCGGGCTTCCCAACTAGGGAATCCCTCATTCCAGTTCGAAAGGAAAGAGTTGGTATAGTCTTTAGCCAGTCGTGCTCCCTTAAAAGGGCTCAACCGGTGCCAAATTCCATTGCTGCTCAGAAGGATACGGATAAGATTGGTCGTAGTGTCCAGAAATGTAACTCGGCTCATTATTCCAGTAAAGAGTGTACGGGGAGGAAAAAACACGATTGACATTCGTATTCCCTGCACACCAGAACAGAAAGACCACACGAAGCCATAAAAAATGAAAAAAACTAAAAAGACAAAAACAAAAAGAAAAACAAAGACGCAAGAGAAGAACACAAACACGAAAAACACAAAAGAAAGAGAAACACGGAAAATAAAATCAACACCAAACTAAAATATCCTACTTCCCTTCCCGGGCAACAACGCCAAATTTATTGTAGCAAATTATTTTATTTTTACCGAGTACCAAATCGAATGATTCGTTCCTCGGGTCAATTTCTCGAGGAAGGCGGTTTGGAATCTAGAAGTGGTGTTGATCGCACATAAAAAGGAAAATAAATCCTAAACATACTACTCAAGATGGATTGGAATTATTATCAACTGAGAAATAATATAGAACATAAATCCACCTAAGAATATAAACGAAATAATGATAAAGAAGCTAGGGAGTCGGGAATAATTTATTCAAGTTCAAAACGTAAAGCCATGCAATTAATCTTTTGGTTCAAGATTGACACTCTCGCTTAAACATCTAGTTGTTCGCTCCCAATAACTTTTCGTAACAAGGGATTGAACATAGACGAGCAAGTTTGAGCATACAACACCGGCCAATAATCTAATCCCAATAACTTTTCGTAACAAGAGAAGGGACATCGACAAGCGTGCACTTCAATCCAAAACCTATAGACGATTTAATTATGAAATCGTCTATCTCGTGCGAGCCTAGTTCTACGACTCCTCCCCTTTTGGTTCTAAAAGTCGCTAATTAAATTACAAGATATTTAATCACCTAATCGTTTAGAATAAATAAAACCCTAACTAAAAATCAATATTCAATCGTTTCCAATTGCAAGATCAAAGTGTCACTCTTCGATTATATCAATCAATCAAGCAAGAATTCATCAATTCCTAATCAATTCAACTCACATAAGAACGAAAA